CCAGATGTAGAGCGTCTAGTATCCGGACACCCGACCCAATCAGCATCTGTATACGAAACAAGAGATGAAATAGAAGACGGATAGAGATGCAAACCGTGGTCAACCAAGCCCCGTATGTAACGAATAACCCGTTTGAGAGCAGCCATATGACTCTCTTTTGGATCATGCATATGTAAGCAAACCTGTTGGGCCGCATATGATATATCCGGTCTAGTAAAGGTAAGGTATTGCAAAGCCCCTACAAGACTACGATACAATGTAGGATCGGCACAAGGTTAACCTGTAGAACTGTCCTTCGGTTTTACCTCAACGTGTAGCCGAAGGTTTGCATGAAGCCATCCCTGCGCGGTCAATAATTTCCTCCGCATATTTACGTTGTGACAAAAATAATCCACCCTTATGTCTTGTCACTGCTATGCCAAGAAAATAATTAAGATGACCCAAGTCCTTCATAGCAAATTCCAAGCTAAGAAGGGACATAATAGAACGCCGCAGTTTATCAGAAGAAGCAGTAAGAATAATGTCATCAACATATAAAAGCAAATAAGCCACATTTTTCCCTTGGCGATAAATAAAAAGGGAATTGTCACTCTTACTATTAGTGAAACCAATAGAAGCAACAAAATCTGCAAACCTCTTATACCACGCCCGGGGTGCCTGCTTAAGACCATATAAAGAGCCCCGCAATAAACACACATAATCAGGGTGAGTTTTATCACGGTACCCAAGGGGTTGATGCATATAGACTGTCTCCTGAAGCTCACCATGTAGAAAAGCATTCTTAACATCAAGTTGATGGATCGACCAAGCTTTAGACAAAGCAAGGCTAAGAACAGTCCGGATAGTAGCCGGCTTCACAACCGGACTAAAAGTCTCCCCACAATCAATGCCAACCCTTTGTGTTTTGCCATCACTAATGTGTCTATTTTATATAGTATTTTACCCCCGTCCCTTGGTCATAATTAGTAGTGTTTTTGGCTCTTTAGAGCCACTTTTATTACTAATTGGTGTTTTCTAGTGTTTTCATAGATTTGGTTGACTTTTGCAGGGATTTACACTTTTGGAGTATTTTCCCGAGATATTTTGGAGCAATCACGAGCACTGGAGAAACACGACCGGTTTTTATAGCCCAGGGCCGGTTAGAGCCATCGAACCGGTGATTAAGGGCTCGGTATAGGTGATACCGGGACATTTGGACTAAGTATTCAAGACCAAAGAGGAAACCCAGATTGGCCCGAAGAATTGGAGCCCAATCGTAGTCCAAATAGTTTCCTAAGAGAGCCGCCCAGCCAAAAAGGCTGGCGCTCGGAGGCGCGCTCGGCCGGGAGGGAGAAGCTAAGTTTGGCGCCCGATGACGCACCCGGCCGGGCGCGAGATTGGTACTGACGAGCAAAAAGGCGCGCCCGATCGGGCGGTGCCTCGCTCGATCGGGCGCGTGTAATTATTAGGAGACGATTAGCGTCGTTTTAGTTTGTTTTAGTTTAGGATTTGTACGGAGTATAAATACTCCTCCGTAATACGATTTTGATCTCTCTCTCTCTCTCTCTCTCTCTCTCTCTCTCTCTCTCTCTTACTCTTTCTTTACTCTCTTAATTGTTTTTTTAGATTCTCTCTCTCTTAAACCTTTTTTCTTAATCCATTCTTAATTCCAGATTCGTTTGGTAACTATTTCTCTTCTCTTAATCTTAGTTGTTTATTTCATTCCTTTAATCATGTCTTATTTTATTACTTTGATTGGTTTAGTTTCTATTATGTGTGAGTAGTTTAATTCTAGGGTTTATGGGGATCCATAATTAATATGAAGGGATAATTTGTTATTATTGATTATTGGTATTGCATGATAATTTCTTATTGAATTGTTTTAATTCTTTACAATTAGATTATGAATCGAGCAGATGTAATTTGATTGTGAATGTTTAGCAATATTGAATTAATGAATCGAGAAGATGTTAATTTAATATTAAAGGATATTTTTAATAGGAACTTAGATCTAGTAAATTGCGAGAGCCTGTTAGATCTATGTTGATTAATAAATTGCGAGAGCCTGTTAATCATGTTATTTGTGCAATGTTAATTATTAATTATTATGTTTTATCCCGGAATATTAATTATTGGTGAACCTGTGACCCTAGGCCTTCTTATTATTGTTTTTCTCCCTAAACTTATTCTTCGTAGTATAATTCCTTTAACAACAACAAATTGGTTACTTTAATAATTTAGATTATAATTGATTAATTAGGAATAGAAAGACCAGTTTCCCTGTGGATTCAACCCTACTTCCCTATCTACATTAGTTAGAGGATTTAGGTATTACTTTTGATTTGGGGATACGACTTTACCCTGTCAATCACCTACAAGACGGGCTTTATGCCTCTCAAAAGAACCGTCAGATTTCACCTTATGAGTAAAAATCCACATAGAACAAATGCCATTAACATCAGGTGGACGGGGCACCAACTCCCACGTCTTATTTTTAATAAGAGCATTATATTCATCATCCATAGCCATTTTCCAATTCGGGTCACGCAGAGCAGACACGGGGTTACGAGGGAGAGGGGATTTCGTAACATTAGACACCATAACATTGAAATTTTTATATTTCGGGTTTGGTTTGACAATCCAATTCCTGCTTCTTGTGATATAGGAGAAGGTGGAGGTGGCTGTTGTACTAGAAGGGGGACGGTTGGGCTAGGAGGAGAAGAAGGAAGACTTGGGCCAGTTGTGTGGGTAACACGCGAGTGGGCCGTGGCTGATTGAACAGGCCCACGGTCCACGTGCGTGTTATTATGCCCAACAAAGGCCTGAGTGCTTCCGGGTTGGTTTGGAGAAATAGGGGAGGCTGGGCTTGAGGGGGATAGCGGCCCAGACGAGTTAGGGGAGTCCGGAGTTGGGCTTATAGGGGAAGCTTGTTCCGGATTGGGCTGGACCATAGCTAATGGACTGGTTTCAGAAGGAAGTTGCAAATTGTGGATAACATAAGGATGTAGACCCTCATCCAAAAAATCATAAGTATGATTAGTGGGTGTATGCAACTTAGAAAAAGGAAAAATAGTCTCATCAAACACAACATGGCGACTAATGAAAATCTTATTAGTAGATAAATCATAACATTTGTAACCCCTATGATTCGTTGGATACCCCAAAAAGACACATGGTGTTGATCGAGGTTGAAGTTTATTAATGGTAGTGGATGGAAGTAAGGGGTAACATAAGCAACCAAAAACACGTAGGTGTGAATAAGACGGTTTCCTTTGATAAAGAATTTCGAGAGGAGATTTGGACTCTAATAACTTACTTTGGAAGAATGTTATGAAGATACATTACCATTTGCGACGCATGATGCCAAAAAGAAGGTGGCAAAGATGCATGAGCAAGAAGAGTGCGAATAATATTATTCAATGATCTAATTTTCCTCTTGGCCTTTCCATTTTGTGATGATGTATGTGGACAAGAAAGACGAAAAGACATGTCATTTGATTCACATAAAGCCCAAAAAGGTCTGTTATCATATTCCTTCCCATTATCACATTGAAAAGTTTTAATAGGACGTTCAAATTGGGTTTGAATAAATGTTTGAAAAGCCAACACTTTATCAAAAACATCCGGTTTCTTAGCTAATGGAAATGTCCATAAAAACTTAGAAAAATCATCCAAAATAAGCATATAATAACGATGACCCATAGAACTCAAAATAGGAGATGTCCAAAGATCACTATGAACAATATCAAAAGGCATAGTAGTATTAGAAATTGAAGAAATAAACGGCAACTTAACATGTTTTCCAAGTACACATGAATGGCAAACACTATAACTAGAGGAGTGAGTGCATTCAATGTTCTTATTATTACTAAGAGTCCTTAAAATAGAAGCACCCGGATGTCCCTATCGATCATGCCATAGAGGAGAAGCTAAAGTAGTGAAAGTTGAAGGTGATGAACGAGTGAAAGTGCTAGTGAGTGGATAAAGGTCCCCTTGGCAATCACATCTCATTATTGGCATCCCCGTCCGATAATCCTTCACAGAAAAACCATAAGGGTCAAACTTAACAGACACACAATTAACAGTTGTAAATTTACGAACAGAAATGAGGTTTTTGATGAGTTTAGGGGCATGTAGGACATTAGAAAGGGACAATGGTGGGTTAGGGGAAGGCAAAATCATATTACCACAACCACGAATTGGAATTGAATGACCACTACCAACAATAATACCATTATGATGATTGCTCAAATTAAAATAAGACAAGAGATTACAGTTGTGGATGTCATATGAGACGTGGCACCGGTGTCCATGTACCAGTAGGGATCGGGCTGTTGCAAAGTCATAGTGTGGAAGGCCGATTCGATGTCCGTAGGAGTGTAGGACTGAGATGCTGCATAAGCTTGCTGAGGACGTGGACCTAGAATACCAGGCTGCTGCCTTCCTGGGCCTTGTGGACGAGCCCACCCTTGGGATGGGTATGGGCAAGGTAAGCTGGCCCATTGAGGCACCCAACCCCAAGGGGGATATTGATTCTGCCAAAACGGAGGAGCACCCCACTGACCGTGCTGCACCTGCTGATTGCCGTAGCTTGTACCCCCTGACCCGCTGGAAGTCTGACTGCCGCCGGAGCTGGAACCACCACGGCCACCGCCGGAATTATTTTTCGACCATTATTATTATTATTATTTTTTCTGATTTCGTCCCTTACCACGAGCAGAGGCCGAGCCATCAGACCCCGAGTCCACATCACGCGAACTCGCCACCATGGCTGATGCAGAGGCAATTGTCGCCTTCTTAGCCAAGCCCGCTTCCTCCAAAGTTAGCATCGACAGGGCTTGGTAAAATTGAGGGAGGGAATTGCTTTGCCGGATTAAGGTAGCAACCCCAGAATAGGCTTCCGTGAGACCGGAAACAAGTTGAAGGACGAGGCGGTTGTTGTCCACCAGAGCCATCACGTTCTTCAACTGGTCGGAGAGGCTTTTGAGCCGTTGACAATATGCCGAGGCATTAGCAAAGTCCTACATATGAGTGTTTGAGAAATCATGTTCAAGAGCAACGGCACGAGAATTCTGATTGTCTTGAAAAATGTATTTCAACCTTTTCCAAGCTGCCATGGCCGTTGAGTCGGGTTCAATGATTGTGTTCAAAAGGTCATAAGAAATAGCGGAATAAATCCACCCTAAAACAGCCGCATCGAGAATCGACCACACGTCCTTTTCCGCGTCGGTAGAAGGTGGAGCAACCTTCTTGTCGGGAATAATATGGTGGAGGACCTTATGAGAATGAGCATGAACCTTGAATAGCTCCGCCCACGTGGAGTATTGAGAATTATCCATCTCAAGAGTCATAGGAATACTAGTCTTAATGTTCAAGACAGTCATTGCCGGATGAATTTTGGAGTCCGACATTGGTGTTCAAGCACAGGAAGAAGAAGAGAAGAGAAAGAAGAGAAGGAAGAAGAAGATGAAAGTGGGCGGAAAACCTAGGGAGCAGCGGAAATCAACCCTAGCAAATATATCTTATACAAATTCAAATATATATTATAAAAAGTTAAAGATATATTATTAACTAATATATCTTAACAGTATGCAAGTCATCAATCACATTGCTCTAAGAATTTGTTAGAGGGGTCAAGTTTTTTAAAGTAGCAATCCTTCAAGAGTTGCGGTAAAAATAACCAAACTTTCATCAATGTTTAATGAATTAAATAATGTAAACTAAAAAGACAAAACTCATTTTTTAAAGCTTACCACTTAAGCACTCCAAGCATAGTCGAATTATTAGCTTAAAAAAATATGTTTGTCTTCCAAATTTGGTAAAAATGACATACTAATTTACAATTATATACCATTGGCTTCAAATCTATACCAAAAGATGATGATGAAGGATGGGAAAAGTAAGCAATGAAAGGGAAGCGGAAGAAGAATCAACAAAAAAGATGAATGGCTGAAGAAAAGAGGAAAGAGAAAAAAATTGGGCTTTTGTTATTTTATTAATTTGGGGTTTTTTTTTTGTTTTTTTATAAACCATAACTAACACATGAAACTTAATTATTGTTTTAATAATTTGGTTTAAATGACTAAAATCAATATTTATATAGTAAATGATAAATTTCTAGCAAGTGGACCCCACTCAAGTATTATTAATGTTATTTACGTTTTTTTATTCAAAGTTGGTGTCAATATAACAAGTGGTACAAGTTGGTGTCAATAATTGTAACACCCCCTAAAGTTGGTGTCAGTTGGTGTAATTTTGTCTTTTTATTATCATTGCATAGTATACTTTCACTGATAATCGCCTCCTCTTGGAAAATGAAAGGCAATTTAAAGTCAATAAGATCTTTATTGTTCTTGGGATGATTGCCTTTGCATTTTCTAGTCATTATCTTAGCGATTATCACCCAAGTTGCTAAATGTGTGACTATTAGTCTTGTTTTGTTGCATAGCTTATCATTTTGCTTTAGGTTCCTTAGTAGTATGATAGAAGTATCTGCTTTTAGATGTAACTCAATGAGATCGAGAATCCCATCAAATTTCAAGTTGTTTGAGAACTCTATTGAGTAAAGGACATCTTGATTGGTTATCACAAACTATTGGGTCAGTTCTTCTTGACCAATAGTTGTGTCAGTCAAGCGGGTTTGTTGGCCCGATCTTGCTTTGTTCAGCCCAACAAGCTTATTAACAATGTTCAACCCAATTTCAACTGCACTTCTACAACTCTCTTATTCATCTTCAACAATGGCGAAGTTAGAAATTTCTAATTGGGAGGACGACAACTAAACATCGCATAATTTAAGAAAAATATTTTAAAGAAGAAACTAAAATACATAGATAATTTAATAGTTCACGTTTTGCAACTCAAAAATCCAAAATATTTAGTCATACTATTCAAAAAGATGAAGAAATATACATAAAGTTTAAAATTGAATTACAATTGCATCATTTAAGTCTTCTCATTTACAAAACGATCAATGTTTTTTTTTCTTCAATGCAAACTTGTAGGAACATTATTCTTCTCAATAAGAGCGACCAAATAATCATTCATCGGTTACGTAACTTACTTTTGACATGTGTTATTCCGGAGTATGCTCTTTCAATTCTTGTCATATCATACATATGAAATTAAGAAACAATTTAACATCCCTAACACTGGGATATAAACAATCAACATAAAGAAATTATAATAATCTTAAAATTTAAATTCAACAATTAAGCCATTATAACAATAAGAAAATTTCAATTCCAACAATTAAGCAAATATAACAATTGAAAAATTCATATTTAAACAATTAAGCAAATATGATAATCATTCTTATGGACAATAGTAAGCTAGTTTTCTCATTTTTTGCTTTTTTTTTAACCTGAAGTTTTTATTTTAGAGAGAGGTGGGACAGTTGTCCCCCGTTGTCCCCCTCTCCCTCCGCCACTGTCTTCAATTCTTTATTTTATCTCTCATGTCTCCTCTCTCCTTCAATGGTGAGTTGGCACTTTCTTTCTCCTCCCTCCTTCAATGGTGGTTTCTTAAGTCATCTCACCGTACCACCCGCTAGTAAAGCTGTCGATATGATATAAATGATGATATTTTTTTTAATGAAGTTTTACTTATTTCAATTTTTGATGATTTTCCTTATATTTTGGTGTATGGCTTAGACCTGGAAAACGGGTCATTCGGGTCAGGTCAATTCAGGTCGGGTCAATTCGGGTCAACAAATATTTGGGTCAAGTCGAGTCGATTTGGGTTTCAGGTCAAATCCGGGTCAGCACTTCGAGTCAAGTTCGGGTCGGGTCAAGTTCGGGTCTGTTTGGGTCGGGTCATGAAAATTTTTAGGATCAATTTTCAGGTCAATTCGGGTCGAGTCAATTCGGATCGATTCTGTTGGGTCAAGTTTGTGTCGAGTCACCAAAATAAATTCACTTAAAAAAATAGTTGGAAAAATAAATTAAAGTTAAAAAATATAAAAAAAATATTAAGTACCTATTACTTAGGAAAGAAAGAAGCCCTAAACTAGTAATTCACCATTTCACCCTATTCACTTTAGGATTTGGGTCTATTCAGGTCGGGTGAGTTTCCCAACAAGAGTTTCTGCATACGGTGAGGTTCAAATCCGAGATCTCTCTTAAAGGGCATCTAGTTGCTTACCAATTGAGCCAACTCTTGTTGGTTGTATTAAGGATACATTTCAGTTAAATTGAGGATACATTTCAGTTAGACTGAAGATACAATATTGTCTACAGAGAATACATTTTATTGAGGATACAATATTGTCTACTAAGGATAAATTTTAGTTAGATAGAGGTTATATTAACTTATATTGAGGATACAATCATTTCTATTGAGGATACATTTAGCTAGATTGAGGATACAATATTGACTATTGAGGATAAATTTAAGTTAGATTGATAATACATTTTAGTTAAATTGAGGATAAAATCATATCCTCTAATAAATTATAGATATCCTCTATCAAATAATTCATATCCTCTAATAAACTATATATCCTCCAATAAACTTTATGACCTTTTTCCCCTTCATTTCTCCTTCTCTATTTTCTCTCTCTTCTCTTCCTCTCTCCTCCGCCCCGTCCTCTTCTATTTTTATTCTCATCTCTTTCCTCCACCCTTTCCTTCCTATCTTCCTTCCTTTTCTCCTGTTCTCTTCCTCTCTCCTCCGACCTTGGTCTTCTCTTCCTTTCTCCTCCGCCGGAATGTATGGGTGTTTTTTTGTTACTAGAAATTAATGGTTTTTTTGGTCAAATTCGACCAATCTAGACTTTTTATGGACAATTTGGCCTATTTAAACCAAAATCAAGAATCCAAAGCCAATTTCGGTGAGTAAGGTATGTTTTTCGAGCCTATTATGTATTTTTTTAGTTTGTTTTGTTAGTTTGTGGTGGTTGGTGGTATTCGGATGTGGTGGCTAGTAGTGTAGGGATGTGGTGGCTGGTGGTTTGTTTGTTTATTTTATTTTTTTGAATTTTTTTGTTAGTTGTGGTTTTGGTTTTTCCGGTGGTTGTGGTGGGTTTTTGGGTGCCTTTTTTTTATGTTTGTTGGTGGCGCTGGTCTTGGGTGCCGTCAGGGCTAAGGGTCAGGGTTAGGGTTCGATCGGGTATGGGTTAGGGTTTGGGTGTTTTAGGTGGGTGGATCTGGGTATGGGTGGTGGTGGGGCTTTGGTTAGTGTTCGGTCAGGGTTTGGGTAAGGTGGTGGTGGTACCGTGGACAGGTTAGGGTGGTCAGGGTGTAGGTAAGGTGGTGGCGGTGTTGTGGACAAGTATGGGTGGGGGTGGTGATGCGGATAGGTTAGGGTCAGGAAGTGGGTTTGGTTGGGGTTGACAGGGGCGTTTTGGGTGGTTGGAGGTGGTGATACGCCGTGCCAGTGGTGGCGCGACGTATTTTTTTTTAATTTCTTGAAATTGTTTTTTGACGGAATTTTCGCCGAAAATTTCCGACCGAATTCTAAATTCCATCGGAAATTTCCACCGGATTTTGCCACTGTCGGAAATTGTCTCACGACGGAAAATTCCGTCGGAATAGTATTTTGGACGGAATTTCCGTCAAAAAAGTTCGTTTTTTCCTACAAACGCTTTTCCGACGGAATTCCGTCGAAAACCCCTTTTCCGAAGGATTTCAGGGTGTTTCCAATGGAATTTTTTCGTCGGAAATGGGCCTATTTCTAGTAGTGCCCCAATTCGATTTTTTTGGACATTTTTGAAAAATTCGAGAAATATTATACCAACATTTAGTTATTGATTATCATTTTCAAAATACAATTTTTGATGTTGCATTACAAGTTAGAGAGAGAAAGATAAGCAATGAAAGAGAAATCGAATTGAGAAGTAGTAGTAAAGGACGGACAATTTCATTGGTTATATATATCTTCTAAACTCTTGCATATTGAATCTAATGAGCTTAGATTTGTTTTTATTACCCTAGGAAGTAAGTTCATGATGTAATTGTTGATTTCGTCCACTGTTGCATTCTTTGGTACGTGTTAAAAGACATCTCTCACAAAAATAATCAGGGTACTTATATCAAGTGTACGAATTTCCATATGTCTTTTTTTATTAATTACCGCATCTTCCTCAGAATTTAGAATTAAATTATCTAGTATTTTGATCCATGTGGCCTCATTTTCTCCTCCCATTCTCGCCAATGGTATAGTGCCCTCTCATGAGTAATATCTGGTTGTCAAATTCTTCAAATTTCTCCTTGTCTTTTCATTGCTAGTCTGTTGAAGTCTCATGTTTTTGTGTAGTGTGTAAACCTTGCATCCTCCCCATCATTTTGATATGTTATGGTGGCTCTAACTATATCTTCTCTTCTCCCTTTTGGCACTATTGATAGGATTTGTCTGAAGTCTCTGCCTAGAAGCATTGTTTCTGTAACACCCCCGATTTACTAACGGAAAATAA